GTGACCAATTGCACGTGAAAAACCACTTTTGCCACTATAGTGCTGTGCACATGATTTTGATCGATTCACCTGCACAAAAACGGGTGTTATCTGAAGACAATACGTGGCAATTACTGTTAAAATACACAATAAGGGCCCACAATGATAACTGGTCAAAATGTTAAAATTTTAGGATTGTGAAGTTTTTAATTTGGTTCAGTATATTTGGTTATGGCAAGAACTAGGAAATTTTAATGTTTGTTGAGTCATTTCGACAACGTGTTGTAGATTCTGCTAAACAAGATTGGCATGTCTCGATGTGTGACCGTAAATCTCTTGGATTTTACTGTTTATGTAAATCCGTCTTTGAATGTGAACTGAATGTAACAGATATATTCTTTGTATGTTATCACAAAGCTTTGTCAACATTTAAATCAAGTATGAATTCTCTTGGTATACAAAACTTCTGAAAAGGTAAATGTGAATTATGATCCTGAAGTCTTGTGTAAAACCTGTTTTGTAATAGAAGATGAAAGTCTTGTGTTATTTTATTGCCCATGTTATGCAGAAGAATGAAATTTGTACATGCAAGAATAAACACATAATGCTTTGTATCAAAAGAAAATATGAAGATGCACCTAATGTTAAGATATATGTATTGTACAGATGGCCTGGGATTCTGTAAAAAACTGATTCTGAATCTGAATCTGATATACTTATTACACTGTTTTTGCTTGTGTCATGTAATTTGCCATGCAGTCAGTTGGTGGTTACTTCAGGTTTTCTTTATTTATTTTTTGTGCCCCGTATTTGCAATTTGTGTAGTCGTATTCAATCTCGACGGTCATCTCATTTATTTTCGTATTAGTAATTCAGTATATATTGGGTATGCCTATCGTGGTACTTATAGTTGTTCTTGCTTCATTTACATATTTTAGATATTTATTATGCGGTATTGAACATCCAATCTCGCACTGACTCACTCACTCAGACCGCCACCGTGATCTAGTGGTAGAGCGTCCGCCCGGAGAGCGGAAGGTCCGGGGATCGATCCCCGACCGCGTCAAACCAAAAGACGTTAAAAGATGGTACTTGTTGTTGTCCTGTCTGGCGCTTGGCATGAAAGGGCTAAAACAAGGGCTAAAACAAGGACTGGTCGGCTCGGAGTCACGTTGCCATAGAAGTGCAATATCTTGGACGCGACGTTTAACCCCATTTCATCTGACCCCACCTCATGCACTCATATATTTGATGTATCAACTTCTCTGCTCTCTGCAAATGTTCTATTTCAATATACATGCTTAATGTGAATAAACATCGTTAATAAAAGATTAACGCATTCATAGCTTTTTCTTAAAACATAATGTACCCAAACAACTTATTTTTCTAGCAATATTGACACACAAATGTCAACATATGAGGGACACATATTCGTTAACATTAGCCTCACTGAATCAGTCTTACTCTGACACATGAATATTCACTGAAGCTACTATTTCGAACTATCTTCCATTTGAAGTCGCTCTATGATCTCGTCTTATTTCGATCATACATTTACTTGAACAGTAAGATTTTGAAACTAGGGATTTCGTGAAATCACTGAACATTTCAGTTATTTTTGAAAACCTCGATTTCATGTAATCCCTAAATATGCAGGGATATCCATGAATCACTTTTGTCATGTTCAATGACCTTTTGTGCAGTTCATTCTACACATTGCCCTGATTAAATTATATGTTCCATTCACTACATTTTGAATCGCAAGATGCATCGTCTGCGTACAACATATCTGCGTACAAGAATGCAAATAGATGTGGTATCTCAATAGTATGCCTAAGGTATTGGATTGGATGGTTTGTTGTTTAACGCCGCACTCAGCAATAGTCCAGCTATATGACGGCGGTCTGTAATAATCGAGTCTGGACCAGACAATCCAGTGATTAATGTCATGAGCATCGATCCGCGCAATTGGTATCGATGACATGCATCAACCAAGTCAGCGAGCCTGACCACCCGATCCCGTAAGTCGCCTTTTACGGCAAGCATGGGTTGCTGAAGACCTATTCTACCCCAGAATCTTCACGGGTCCTAAGGTATTGGAAACCGGTATTGGAAACCGGTATTGGATACTGTCCCATGTGTCCAAACAGCATTACACCGTGAGATAAATTCTCTTATGGATACACATGTTCCGCTTTGGTTGAGCAAAGGTCGAACAATACTTCTCCCAAAGAAATGTGATTGGACTGACCCTAACATCTTCGGCGCTTTTACTTGTCTGAATACACAACATAACATATTTACAGGGGAGCCAGAAAATGGTTGTAAGGATCAATTGCTGGTTTAAAAAATTATCCTTGAAGAGGCTAAAACTTACCACCGTTACCTCTCGATGTGCTGGACTACTGAAAAGCTTATGATTCAGTCCCTTACAAATGGATTTGGAATGGAATGCATTGACATCCTCGAGCGACTACTTGTTTTACTCAAGGCGTCAATGAAATCCTGATCAACTCATCACTGCTCAGATCCCAAACACCCCTTACTCACCTCCTTTTCATGGATGACCTTGAACTGATTGCCAAAGGAGACGCCACTCTAAAAAAAGATCCACACTAAGAAAACAGATTCTCCTTGTCGAGTCCTTTTCTAATTATATTGGCATGTCCATTGGAATGCACCTTTTTTCAGCTTAAACGTGGCAAGGTAGAAGAGGGTTCGGTTCAATGGGGGGAGGAGTTATTAACCATCTCATGGAAGCTCAGGACTGCACGTACTTAGGGATGCAGATCAGGGACAAACGACAGAATGCCCCTATCAAAGACAAACTTTTGGTTTGTTGTTTAACGCCGCACTCAGCAATATTCCATCCAGCTATATGACGGCGGTCTGTAAATAAACGAGTCTGGACCAGACAATCCAGTGATTAATATCATGACATTCATTCTCAGCTAAATGGTAAATTACACAATTGTGCTGTCCCCTGCGGAAAACCTGGTTAATATCTTAGCTGAAAATATATTTTCTGTTACAAATCATATAATGCAAGCTGAACGGCTAAATGAATACACATGTTGATGTACTTCGTTCAGTTTGTATCTTCACCAGTCTATAGTGTTGCTTATAAAGTCGTCCCCAGCCTTGTCCCCGTGCTCAGTGTGTGACTTTTCCACTGAATAATTAAATATTCTGCACATTTTTACTGCATTTTACTCCTTTTTTTCATGCGTAATGATCATATATCATCATTACCAGCAGTTTTCAAGCAATGGTTCTGATAAAATATCTTTGGCTAGCAATATTCTACTGTCCCCGATTTTACCATCAGATACGTTGGTCACTTTTGTGTGAAGAAGTCACACACCAACTAAACAAACATTATAACACAATGTGTCAGATATGATTTGTTCAAGCATAGTCTCAACACTTTTTATCATCAATTTCTTAAAAAACTTAAAGAAAAATCATGAATCACAAAATCACAAAATTATACCAGCTGGGTACGATACTTTTCATCAGATACGTTAGCATGATTTATTGCCGCACACGCCTGATAAACTACAATATATGATGTTGTGTTTGTTACTTTCATAAAACAACGTGTCACCTATGAGAAATGTCCATCCCAAACCTTGACATGAGTATACTTTCGAAATTTCTGACTAATTCGCAAAGTTGTCATCAGATACAATTTTGTCAGATACGTTAGATAACACCAGCGACATCGGAAGATGGTCATCGAACTTCAGTAATCTCGATAAGTTGAATCTTATCAATGTACATGCGCGCCGTGCCACCTCTCTACTTCCGATTTTCAGCCAAGAACGTCCTGCAACCTGGTTTCGGTTCTCAACAATCCATCACAAATTGGTAAGTAATCTTTGCCATCTTAGTAAATGGGTCATCTGAATTGAAAGCCACCCCATAGGTGATAATTATTTGATAAAATAGATTCTGTTCATTAGGATGGAAAAAATGAATCCCTTACTGTATATTAGCAATTCCCAAAGAGCATGTTTTCCAACCTAACGTATCTGATGCCAACCTAACGTAGTTTACGAATGTAATTTAATGATTAGATATGTTTCTGAAGTGAAGACCACAACATTCTACTGATGTTTTCTGTCGGTATGCATTTCATTGATAGGAAAAGTACTATATTTTACTCAAGCTCCTGTCTAAACACCTAAATACCAACTAACGTATGTGATGATTTTTATAACGTATCTGATGAAATTAGCATATTTCACAAAGAATAAAGTATGAACATTTTTAAAGGGTGGCTATTTCATAGTGCAAACATCTCTTTCACTTCGACGACTGTTTCAGCATGTTTTTGTCTATGCTTGATTTTAGAAAATGGCGAAAACAGACGCAGAAAACCAAAAGGTGTATCGGGAAAGAAAGAAACGAAATGACAGTCAATATCTAGCCAAAGAACGTGCTCGAGTCAAAGGGTACAGAATACCAATTGATCAAATGCAAACAAAGAAAAAAAAGGCAGTTCGTGAAAGGAATAAACTCTATAGTAAAGCATACCGGGATCGAAAGAAAACACACAAACAAGCACAAGGTGCCAGCATAGTTGAGGTCACAGATGTGGTCGTTGATGCAGAAACTGACCAGGTCGACACAGTATCAAGCAGTACTGATGCATCTCGGCAGTCAAGGTCACGCCCAGGTCCTTTCTTGGTCAAAATGACTTTTCCAAATAAACAGAGAAAACCAAAACGCTCGTGTGCACTGAAAAGAGCAAATACAAAAGTAAAAGAGTTGACTGAACAACTCTCTAGCTACAAAAAGAAGCAACAGAAATGGAAGAAACGATATCAGAGGATGAAGGCGAAGTATGGGACATCCAAACAGACTAGCCGCAACAATACTGAAAATAGCTCGGATCAGACGACAGGCAGTCTTCAACAACAGTCTGAAGCAACACCTTCAACAAAAACCAGACATGATCTCCGGGAAAACGGTGTGAGTCCCAGTCACTTGCCAGCCACTGTTGTTAGACATTAACAATGGCTGATGTACTTTTTGGAGAAATTAAAGAAAGTGTCGCAGCCAACAAAAAGCAAAGCAAAATGAATGTGATGACATCTCTTGTTGGAGGGAAAGTACTTAAGAAGTACAGATGTGTGTCGGGTTTGAACAAGGCTACAGGTTTGTCACGAAGAAGTTTATCTCGGACCACCTCTAAGGTAATAGAGATTCGAGGAAGAGCCCGTCTCACTCTCGTAAGAGAGCAGATTAAGAGACTAATTGTCTCATTCATGGAGAGAGATGATATCAGCGTATGTATGCCAGGCAAAGCAGATTCCAAGAGCCTAAATGGTGTCAAACATCAAACAAGAATAATGAATGATTATCTGTCTGAGGTGTATGCTAAGTTCAAGATTGAAAACCAGAATATGAAACTGTCTTTTGCATCATTCTGTAGGCTACGGCCCAGATACATCTTGCTCACATCACACATTTCAAGAAACACTTGCTTATGCAACAAACATCAGAATATGGCCATGAAACTCAAATGTCTGAGAAGTGTTGGATTACAAGTTCCAAAATCACCGGATATGGCGTATGACAGTGTATCCGTGGACGCAATGGATCAGATGCTGGAAACTATTCAGGATGACGTTGAATATGATGAGTGGAGGCGTGTGGATGTTGAGGGGAAAAAGAAAATGAAGGTGGTGAAGATAATAAAGAATGCCACTGACTTCAAGAATTATATGCTACTTGAATTTGCTGAGTTCCGTGACCACGTTGGAAGAGTAAAGTCGCAATATGCAGCTATCCATGAGTTGAAGGATACACTCCCAGATGGCCATATCATCATACAGATGGACTTTGCTGAGAACTTTACATGTTCCAGCATGGATGAAATCCAAAGTGCATACTGGAACCCAACAAATGTCACGCTTCACCCTGTAGTGGTATACTACAAGTTGGACATACTGGTACACAAAAACTTTATCTATGTGTCTGATGTCAATCAGCACAACTCGACTGCGGTACTTACAATCCTCAAACTGATGTTACCTGAACTGAACACCACTTTCCCTTATGCAACGCATGTTCACTATTGGACTGATAGCCCGTCATCACAGTACAGAAATCGGTACATGTTTGATGTCATTCTGAAGCATAAGGAGCTGTTTGGGCTTGAGGCACGTTGGAACTATTTTGAGTGTGGACACGGGAAAGGTCCATGTGATGGACTAGGAGGTGCATGTAAACGCCAGGCATCTGATGCAGTAAAACAAGGCAAAGCGACAATTCAAGATGCCCACGATTTTTATCACACAATCAAAAATCAATCCAATACAGATTCTACTCTACTGCTGAAGTAGAGAAGGCTGCACAGGACATAGCTACCTCTAACGCAAAGGTGGTACATGGCACAATGAAGTTGCACGCAGTCATGCAGCAGAATGGGGTTCTTTTTTCAAGAACTGTATCATGCTACTGTACAGGTTGTCTGAGCGGCAATGAGTTATGTGTTGGTTGGCGCCGTCACCATGTTGACCAAACCATATCCCAGGAAACGCATGTACTGCAGCCCACACAGGCTTCTGTATCCCCTGTACCTGCTGCACCACATGTACCTGCTGCACCACATGTACCTGCTGTCCAAGTTGTTGGCAGATTTCTGGCTGCCATATATGATGGTAACTGGTTCATCGGGAAGGTTCTCGAAGTTGACATAGATGATGGCGATACCAAAAAAACTTTCATGGAGAAAACACAAGACAAAGGCAAGACCTACAAGTGGCCATCTCGTCCTGATGAAATTTGGATAGAATTTGACGATGTGCTCTGCTTTATTGATGAACCGGTCGCTATTGGCAAAACAAGGCGCCAGTACAACGTAGCTGCACGTGACGTCGCCCGTATTGAGAAGGCATTCAAATGAACATTCACTTTGTATTTTTTACGAATTGCCAAGATTTCAACCACAATGCCTCAAAAAGCATCAGATACGTTATGTTAGAGTTTGTGCTAAATGTCATATGGAGAAAATATAAACCTCATCTTTCATATAAATGTTTAAACTTCAGACGTTTTTAAGCCAAAGATCGGCCACTTGTGAACTTGTGTTGTTGATTCAGGTTGACATCAGATACGTCAGTTTTTGCAGTTGAAGATTATTGCTGTGTTCTCAGTAGACTAATTCTTGAAGGCCAGGGACTTGGCATGTAGTTTGTTCGATATTTGTACCAATGTTTGTTATCAAGTTATTTTTGCAAAATGAACAAACTTTCATAGCCAACACGTGTCTGTTATTATTTGCTAATATCTGTAGAAAATGTGTTTCTTGAACAGGTGTCCACGACACTGTCCTGTTTTGAGACAAATGATCCTTAGGCAATGACTTCGTTTGAAAATGATATAATATGTGGTCCTATGCAAATGACAATAGCACTTTTTGCAAGTTAATTAATGCTGTGCAATATATTTTGATTGCAATGATAACATGCAGTCTAACGTATCTGACTACAGGACATTTGACATATGTTATTTCCGTTATCATTAAAAACAACTCTGATGTCATTTGGGTCCCCCAATGATTAATTCTGAAAGCCTGAATACTGTTTTTACTGAAAATAAGTTAAGTTTTTCAATATCAAGAAATATATTTTTTAACATTTGATATGTGAAATAGACCATTTAGCTGAGAATCAGTGATGAGCATCGATCCACGCATTTGGGATCGATGACATGCATCAACCAAGTCAGTGAGCCTGACCACCCGATCCCGTTAGTCGCCTTTTACGACAAGCATAGTCGCCTTTTACGGCAAGTATGGGTTGCTGAAGACCTATTCTATCCCGGAATCTTCACGGGTCTGATGTTAAAGGCGGGATCGGGTGTTCAGGCTCGCTTACTTGGTGGATGCATGTCATCGTATCCAAATTGCGTGGGACCCGTGAAGATTCCGGGGTAGAATAGGTCTTCAGCGACCCATGCATGCTTGCCGTAAAAGGTTGTTTGGTTGGTTTGTTGTTTTACGCCGCACTCAGCAATATTCCAGCTATATGACTGCGGTCTGTAAATAATCGAGTCTGGACCAGACAATCCATTGATTAATATCATGAGCAATTGGGACCGATGACATGCATCAACAAAGTCAGCGAGCCGTTAGCATGGGTTGCTGAAGACCTATTCTACCCCGGAATCTTGACGGGTCGTTGCCGTAAAAGGTGACTATACATTAGAGCACTTGCCTCTGATGTAAATACTGGTGCATCTGGCAATGTTGTCCATTAACCGGAGTTCTGATTTCCAATGCTTCACCAGTTGGTCAGAAATACGAAGATACAGGTGTAACATGTCAGGTACTCTCCTCCAGAGGGGTATAAAATCAAAGAAGGGAGTGTGGACACAGTTCAAATTTTGTGATTTCTTTCTGGCCATAACAGTGATCTCCTCTATTGTTCTAGCCCCATGGTTCACGTCAGTCACCGACCACTGCAAAGTAGTATCGCGTCTGTCTGAAGCCGAACATTTACACTACAGACAACTGTGTTTACATGAACAGGGCGCAATTCCAGAGATCATATTGAGAAATTTCAAATCCCCTCCCAGATAAAACTTGATTTGAAAACACACACCATCAAGATGAATGAATGTTCTTAGCTTCTTCAATAATTTGAAAAAGTGCAGTTGAAGTACAATGATAAGTTTCCTTTGGAGAAAATACTGCTAACAGATGGTTCCCACAGCATATCATCTAGTATTGAGAACCCAAAATTTATAAGAGTTCTCCTTCTCCCAAACTGTGTTCCATCACCTGTAAGTTTCACATGAATAAGTTTTGTTTGTAAAATGTTGGTGGTGTCATGTTTCATTTCTAGAATTTGTGAAACACAGCTAATGAGTCTTTCTTTCAAAGACTGCTGAACCCCGAAGCTTGGGTATGGTGTGTCATGAGGTAAAACATTTTCGTTGCATTCCTTGATTTTTGTAAGAACCTTGTGAGATCTTGGAAGGGGAGGTACTAAAATACCTTTTGAGTCTTTCACATAAACAACTTTGTTCAACTCCACATCAGGGGGAAAGATTTCTTTGACCATGTTCTCCTTCATGGATATCTGGATTTGCCTTCCTTCACTGTCTAGAGCTTGTACTGAAGTAGGTTCAAGCTCATATCTGTCCAAAAATGCTAAAGATTGTTTACAGTCTCTTACAATCATATGTTTCCTTTTATACTGTTGGGACCTGGACACCTCCCCACAAGGAAAGTTCAATGAGCGTCTATTGGACACACCTGAAAACAAGTTTCCTTGTAAATTTAACAATTTTGTTGATAGCAACTGAACCTTTTTCCTTAGATTAACATTTTGTAAAATTAAGTTTGGCCTTCCTAACAGAAGATTTGTACTTGTGTAGATAAGACACTCTTTTAAACAATTTTGATTTTAATGTTTTTAATGTTGTGTTCAGACACAAATACTTTGAGGGCATATTGAGCCTTATACTGCTTCCAACCCTTCAATATCCGGGGTAGAATAGGTCTTCAGCAACCCATGCTTGCCGTAAAAGGCCACTATGCTTCTCGTAAAGGGCGACTAACGGGATCGGGTGGTCAGGCTCGCTGAAATCTATCCCATATTGTGTGGATCGGTGCTCATGATTATTAATCACTGGTTCGTCTGGTCCTGACTCGATTATTTACAGACCGCCGTTATATAGCTGCAATATTGCTGAGTGCGACGTTAAACAACAAACCAACCCTTCCGTCTGGTTGTATCATGTTTTGAAACCAGCTTTTTCAAATATGAAGCCGACCCGTGAAGATTCCGGGGTAGAATAGGTCTTCAGCAACCCATGCTTGCCGTAAAAGGCGACTAACGGGATCGGGTGGTCAGGCTCGCTGACTTGGTTGATGCATGTCAACGGTCCTAATTGCGTGGATCGATGCTCTTGATATTAATCACTGGATTGGCTGGTCAAGACTCGATTATTTACAGACCGCCGTCATATAGCTGGAATATTGCTGAATGCGACGTCAAACAAACAAACCATATGTAGGAAAAGATTGTGAAATTGTACCAGGTTGTTTCTCTCAAGAAACAGTTCATACTACTGTCAGGTACAAGGTCAATTGTATTTGTCACGTTCAAAAACATGATACTTTATTGTTTACACTCATAAAGATTTGCTTCTGTGCAAAGTCAATTTAGACAGGGATTTTTGTGAAATGTCCATGTTGCCAAAGTTAGAATTATTCTATAAGAAGTACTTAATACCTTTTATTGCAGGACACTTTTTAACTGCTGTTGTAGTTATAGGAGATATCACAAGATGCTTGATCATGTATTTTAATGCTACCATGTATTTTAATGCTACCTTAAATATTGCTGTGTGTGTCCATCCTTCCTAAGATTTTTTTAACAATTTGATTAAGATCTGTTATATTTTAGGGAGAACAATTTCTTGGAAAAGTACAAAATCTGGGGTTCGAACCAACACTCTTCGAGGAATGCACCTAATCACAAGCATACAAAGTGTGCGATCTAACCCACTCCCACCGAGGCTTCCATGAAGTGGAAGTCCGACAACTGATAGGCTAGTAATTTTTTTGTGGAAGCCTCGGTGGCTGAGTGGGTTAGATCGCCAACTTTGTTTGCTGGCGATTAGGTGCCTCTCTTGGTGAGTATGTGTTCGAATACCGGATGAAACTCAACCTAAAAAGGTACTAGACCAAGAAAGTGTTATCCCAAATATAACATTTGTTACAAAATTGACCACTTGCCACAAAGGCATTGTGTATTCACAATTTGCCTAACATATTAAATGCGATCAGGTAGTGTAATGTATTGGTTTGTTTGTTGTGAACGCCGCACTATATGACGGCGGACTGTAAGTAAACAAGTCTGGACCAGGCCATCCAGTGATTGCCGTTATGAGCATCGATCCGCGCAACTGGGATACGATGACGTGCATCAACCAAGTCAGCGAGCCTGACCACCCGATCCCGTTAGTCGCCTTTTACGACAAGCATAGTCGCCTTTTACGACAAGCATGGGTTGCTGAAGACCTATTCTACCCCGGAACGTCATGGTTCTGTAATGTATTGCATAATATGTTATGAACATGTCTTAAATTTTTTAGCAAAGAAAAACATTACCATCTGATAATTGAAAGTGATTTGGAAATTTACAAGCAAGGACCATGAATATCAGAATATTTATTGTACCCAGCCTATTGTCACACGGTTATGAATACTAATGATATAGTACCATAAATGTAGCAATTTATACAATTAATGCTTTTTAATGATGGAAACAGACTTGTGGGAGACCCGTGAAGGTCTGGGTTGAGAATAGGTCCACCTATGTTTAAAGGCAACCATGTTTGCTATAAGAGGCGATCAGGTGGTGAAACTCACTGACTTGGTTGATGCATGTCATCATTTCCCAATTGAGTAGATTGATGCTCATGCTGTCAAATTCCCAGGATTGTCTGGTCCAGACTTGAAAATTCAAGATTCAATATTCGATTATTTACAGACCGTCGTCATGTAGCTAGAATATTACCGAGTGCGGCGTTAAACAAAGAGACAACTTGTAAGAGGAAATGTATATAATGTACATTTTAAAATGCCCAAATTTCAAATAATATCATTTTAAATTATTGATGACAAAACAAAGTGTTAATTCTCTTTCATGAAATTGATGTATACCGTTGTAAATACTTTAACGCAGCAACAAACTAGTCTCCTCTGACACAAGATTGACATTTTTATCTATGCAAGCAATCCAACGATTGAATTTCTAAAGTTATTTAAACTAAAACATATGAAGGTAATCCTTTCACCCATCAGAACTTTACTATGTGGTAAGTCTCTTTTCAGAATTTTGAAAGTTTTACCCAGAACAATTTCACGTTCGATATGAATTCGCTTTGATG